TATATATATATATACCATGTACTACTCTTGTGTCCTTGGACAAGTTACTTTAACCTCTCTGTACTTCATTTTTCTCAATGGTGAACTGTGCCTAATAGCAACAGTTCTCCATTAGATCATTAAATGAGTTTGCTGCATTGGATGTGTCAAAATACTAGAGTCTGAATGGATTAAAAACAACAGGTACTTGCTTCTCACAGGTTTGGAGCCTGGGAAGACCAAGATCAGGGTGCCAGCAGATTTGATTTCTGGAGAGGGCTCTCTTCCTTATTTATAGACATCCTTTTTCTCTTGTCTTCAAGAGATGGAGACAGAAGGAGACATTTGTCTCACTTCTTCTTTTTATAAGGACACTAATTCTACTGGGGGTCTCAGACCCCATGACCTCATCTAAATCCAGTTCATTTCCAAAGGCCCCGTATCCTAACTCCACCGCAATGGAGCTTCGGATCTTGACACATGAACTTGGGGTCAGGAGACACAAGCATTCAGTACATGACGACACTTAAATTGATTTGGTGAGTGCTGGCATGGACTGGATGGTCAATAACTACTGATTCTTTTTATTACCATCCACCTTTCTTCCCTTGGCCACAGAGTGTCACGGTGTCACTGTTGGGAGTCTATTACACACAGAGGCTGCTGAGGTCTCTGGAGTGACTTCATCTAGTCCAACCCTGTGGTGGGAAGTCTTTAAGAGGCTCACAAGGATTTCCGCCTCCTAGTAATCCTACTCTGTGTAACCCCCTTCTCTTAAGTGTGGGATGGACTTAGTAGCTCAGTTCTGATAACTGGAATATGGAAAAGAATGGCATAGCACTCCCAGGATTAGGCCATTATCTAATGTGGCTCTGTGTTGGACTGCCATGCTGGGGAGAGACTTAGGAACCAAGGCGCTGAGCAAAATCTTCACTGGACAGCCAGTGCGGAGCTGAGACCTGCTCAGATCCACATGAATGAGCTTGGAAGCAGACTCCTGGCTCCTGGGTGGCCTTCAGATGGGATCACAGCCCCAGCTGACACCTTGACAACAAATTCATCATAGATCCCAGGTCTCTGGGCTATATTCAGATACCTGCCCCTCAGAATCAAAGAGATAATAACAGTTTGTTGCTTTCAGCCATAGTTTTAGGTGCTATTTGTCAAGCAGCAATAGGTAACTAATACATAGGTTTTCAAGCCTGTCTGAGGGCACAAGAGCCAAGCTCAGCCAGGATACTCCTACCTGAGCATCATTTTCAGTGATGTCCTCATGCTTAGTCATTTCCCAAGGATACAAGTACTCTGACAGGAGGTTTGGTTTGGAGCATCTTTCAGCATGAACCTCAGTGAAGAAACTAATTCTTTCATGTGGAAGCTTAGTTCCTCATCCTGAATCCTCCTCTTCAGCTTGGGCTCCCACTTTTCTCAATTGTATTTCAGGGAACTCCATGTCTTTCATCATCTCTGGAACTTGGTTGAGGCCACCTTGGTCTAACACATCATGACTCCCTAATTCAATTTTTGAGATGCCTGTGTAGTTTTGATTTTTTCCCTCCCACAAACCCAGTAATTTCACGAAATAGCAACCCCAAATGAATCACAACGTGCTTCATGCCCTAAAATCTCAGAGGTTAAAAGAGATGCTCATGTCTGTAACCCTTCAAAAGGCAGCAAAGTTCAGCTTCCATTAACAAAGATACAGCCTGCCCAAGCTGAAACCTCCCCACATAAACATACACCAAATCGTACCTGATTTTTTCCAGAGGGCCAATGAGGAAGAATGTGAGGGGAGGTCCCAGCTACTTTGGCTGGATGCCCACAGTTCAGATCATTGTAGGTCCCCACATGTAGCTCTGAGAAGCCTGTATCATGGAACCCAGAGGTGTCCCTGAGGGGATTCTGTTGCTGCTGTTTTAATCCAGTTTGAAAGTCTTCTGCTTTTAACTGGAGAATATGGTACATTCATGTCTAGTGTAAAAATGTGGATTTAAATTTCTCATTGCAGCATATGCTTTCCATTTGCCCAACTGGCTCCATGTTTCTTTTGCTTTTTCTTTCCTTTGGATGTATTATTTTATTATTCCATTTATTTTCTCTATTAGTTTGGAATTGATGTAGTGTTTTGCTGTTATTTTGGTGGTTGTCTTAGAAATTCAGCATGTTTACTTGGCCTATCAACATCTTATATATTAATTGATCATTTTTATCCCCCTCTGAAAACTTAGGACACTTATCTCTTTTTTCTTTCTTGAATTTTTCATAATTTCAATGATATATGTAATACCAAGCTAGACACTATTATTATTGCTATACCATCAGTGTTCATTTAAGTTTACCCTTATCTTTATCCTTTATGTCATTCTTCCTTTTTTCTGCATCTTCAACTTCTGTTTGAGATTACTTTATTTCTTCCCAAAGGACATTTTTTTTCATATTTCTTCTAGTACTGGTTTCCTGGGAGCAATTTTGTTGATCATTTTTGTTGATCTGTAAACTGTCAGTTGATCTTTATCCTGGGAGAATATTCCCAACCTTTATTGAATTCCAAGATGGCAGCTATGTGAAAGGTGGCAGTATCTGGAAGGTGATGACCTGTGTTCTGAGCTTTGAGGCCATTGCTGAGAAATGGGTGGGACTCTCACTCCTTTAAACATGCTCTATTCTTTTACTTCTGGCTGCCTTTAAGGTCTTCTCTTTGACTTCAGTTTTCTGTAACTTTAGTCTGTTGTATCTGTGAGTTTCTTTCGTATTTATCCACCTGGGATTTTCTGGGCTTCTTTAATCTGTAGACTAATGTCTTACATTGGCTTTGAAAAATTCTCAGTCATTATCCCTTCAGTGATTATGCTGGTATCATTTTCTTTTTTCTTCTGGGGCTAATTTCCCACATGTCTTCTTTTTTGTCTTTATTTATTTATTTTGCAGCTCTGTTTTTTTTCCTATCCTCATTTATGAATTCTCTCTTCAGTTCTGTCTACCCTACTGTTAAAAGCATTCATTTTGATTACTGAATTTCCAGAAAACCACCCCCAAAATAGTAAAACAGGGCGCAAATCCCAAACTAAATTCTTAATATTTTAAATTTTTTTTAGGTGTAGAATTTGGGGGCCTATTTTCAATCACAGTATGTTGTTTTACACTGAAATACAAGGAATAACGGGACAGTTGTTGGAGGCTTAGGACTAGGAAAAATCCCAGGGATGGGAGAGAATTTGGAAGCTGGTGCCAGTCCCCACAGCTGTGAGTGAGGTCCCAGACAACTAGACAGAGCAGGAGAGCAGGAAGGTGGACAGGAGTTCACCACCTCAGTGTGCTCCACAGTGGGACATGTGCATGTTGCTGATGGCTCTGAGCCCAGGATGGTTTCCTCTCCTCTCTGCTACCTGTTGGCTGTCATAGGGGTGGCACTGGAAAGTAGCAGAATTCTGCAGCTGAAACTCATCCCCAGTGGAGACAAAGAAGCCCAAATGCCTTCCAAAGGAACACAGGTTGATGAAAGTTTTGTGGTAGAGCCAAGTTATAACAAAAGAAAAAGCAATGTTTCCCTATTACTCCCTCTCCTTCTCTCTTTGTGTGTGCACAGTATTTTTATTGTCTTTCAGCCATGAACAACTCTCACAACCACTGGGATGGAGACATGGAAGTCAAAGGGTATTAAGTTACAGTTGTGCAGGATACATGCGCTTAGAGATCTAATGCACAACTTCAGGACTCTAGTTCATAGTATTGTACTGTATACTTGAGATTTGCAGTTACCACACACACACACAAAAAAGTTAACTGTGAGATGATTAATATGCTAATTAACTTGACTGTGGTGATCATTTCATTATGTAAATGTGTATCAAAATATTATGCTGAATACCTTAAATATATATAATAAATAAATAAAAAACAGAGACATCTTCCAGAAGCTAAAGGAAAGAGAGACAGAGGGGAAGGAAGAAAAGAAGATTAAGATTTAGATTTAAATATGTTGAATCTGAAATGAGAGTTTGAATTTACATCTTAAATTCTTTTCATCAGTATG